GTTAAAAAGAAAGAAAAACTGGACAACTTCCTTACACACCTCAACAGCCTACACCCAAAATACAGTTCACCATGAAACCGAGTAAACGAGCCTGAAGATGACAAATGAGACTTCGTCGAAATGTCGCCAAGACACTTCCAATTTTACGCGGGAGAAAACCCGAATAACCAAAGACCTACATACAGACACTCGCGAAAACCTCAGAAAATATATATGTATGTATGTATGTATATGTGTATATGTGTATATGTGTATATATATATATGTGTGTGTGTGTGTCTGTATGTGTATATATATATAGTACTAGAATATATGTGTATATATATATGGTACTAGAAAGGCTATAGTAGGGTTAGGGACCACATAGTTGACATTCCATGTATTAGGGAGCACATCCTTGCCTTGCATTCCACCTATACTAGTTCTGTAACCCACCACACCTGCTGAGAAAACAGTAACCTACAAAACATGATTTACTTGTTATGCACTTCCCTCTTATAAAGGGTTTTTGTGCCGTTTATCTGTCATTGTAGTTAACTAAAGGGCTAATCTCAGATGTATTGTTTTAGAAAACTACGGTAAAATGAAATGGTCAAAAACCTCTTTAAATGTTTTAAAGCAAAATGGGTTCTTCTGACTTCACTAGAACTATTCCAATTTTTAATTCCTTACTCAAAAGATTCCCAAGTTGACAAAAATATTTTCAGCTTGGAACCCTCTTGGTTATGTGAGAAAATGCCATTTCAAACTGGAAACAGCCCTTTCCATTTCATTTTGAGCTTGCTTATTTAAATGCACACACACCTACTGTATAATAAGATGGACAAACTGGGTCTGCTTTATTTGCAAAATTTATGAAATGTTTCTTCAAACTTTGTGTACTTTTTGTTGGCCGTAATAATAAAAATAAAGTGACTTTCACTAATACAAATAATCCATTGTTTTCGATATTTTTTTTAAAAAAAGCTGTCTCATCTAGTATCACCTTAAGAAATAATAAGCAAGCTCATACATGGGGGAAAATATGGTTAATTATATGTATGGACAAAATTTAAAAGTTTGGAAATCCCAATATCTTATACCTTTAGACACAAAAAGCCGTGGTGGCAGTGGTTGAATGCAATAGTGCAGATTACTGCAATTTGATTCTCACCAGCTAAAGGTTTACTCAGCGTTCTATCCTTCCGAGGTTGGTGAAATGAGGACCAGATTGTTGGGGGCGATATGCTTACTCTGCAAACTGGTTAGAGACAACTGTAAAGCACTGTGAAATGGTATATAAGTCTAAGTG